TCATTCCTGCGCATGTTCTAAATTGGAAAATCCAAAACATGAGTTGAACAACTGCTATCATCTGTAAAATTTCCTTTATTACCTGTTTTCCTCTAGTATGGTGACATTGAAGATATCAGAATGCCCATGTACACCTTATTACATTTTTTATAGTTCATGGACTATAATTGTTCTATACTTTTGTTCCTTCATTTTTAGTCTTTGTTTTTAAGTGAAGGGAGTTGGGGGTTTAAGTTCCTTCGGTCTTACTTAAATTTGTTATGATAAAGCTTCCTTTTTAATGTTTGTTATATTATACATTAAAGTTGTGTTCATATATATGTATGTACTCTACAGGCAGAGCGACGAGCTAGGATTCACCAGATGCGTCTGGAGGAGGGAGCCAAAAAGGCCGCAGAGGATCTTGAGAAATGTATTGCAGCTATTTTTCTGTTTAGTGTATATTGCTACGTGTCACATTTTCTGTTGGTGCAGCTAATGAAAATTAATGTTTTATTTGCAAAAGATGTTTGTACTTACAAAGACAGTACTCTAATGTTACAACATAGAATTATCTCGTTTCTGTGGTTTGTTAACATTTTTCATCTGATTGTGTGATTATCTTTGCAGATGATCCAAATAACGATCCAAATATATCTGGAGACCCATACAAAACATTGTTTGTCTCAAGGCTTGTGAGTAACCCTTTTCTATGATTATAAGTTTTCTGGCGACTTGGTATTTTACTTAATTTACTTATCTTGTTTCCACTGCAGAATTATGAGACCACTGAAAGCAGAGTCAAAAGGGAGTTTGAGGCATATGGTCCTATTAAGCGGGTAGGTACTATGGGACACCCAGGTGTCCGGCTTAGGTTATTAGCTTTTGGGTTCGGTAAGAAAGTTTACACATCTTGTGGTAGTATCATATGTGCCTTGAAGAAAATCATCCAAATTATTATGGATCTTCAAACTGAAAATGCTTTTCTCAATTATTTAACCTCCACCAAACCCCAAGAACAACAGAAAGTTCAAAATTGATTAAGCTGATTAAAGTGAACGATTGGCTTGTTTTTGTAGATTTGACTGATTTGAAGATTCTCTTGCATTTTGCTGTATTATATCTTACTATATTTGTTCCTTACATGTTTGAAGTAAAATACAGCGCTAACACTTTATACTGACTTAAAACAGTTTGCATCTATTATATCATCTTGATCATTCACGTTTCATGCCTGCCTTTGCCATCATGTTTCAAAGAGCACGTGAAGTCTGTTTTGTCTCTGTGCCACCCATGTTGACACTTTACGAATACTTATTTATTCACTTGTATTACGATGAATGATTAAGTCAGCTGCGGATGTGTCCTCAGGTATAAATTTACCCCTTGGTTAAGATTAGGTTATTGTGCTAACTTTTTTCTCCCTTTCTGCTCATTTGGGGCATGAATTTTTTGTCCGACATCATGATCTAGTTTTAGGCACCCACTCATTCATAGAATCCAATGTGTAAGTTTATCCTTTTAAGAGGTGCATCTTTTGCTTTTCTCCTCTTGTTGGTACTCTTTTGACAAGGAGCCACTCCACTTAACTGGTGCATCTCTCATGCAAAGGTGAAACTTTAATTTGTGAATTACGATAGTGCTTTCTGCCCTTTAGCTATATTACAAGCTACCTGGAGAAGAATTTTTTACTGCAATTGGTAAAATGCATTTGAGTTTGTTCTCTCTCTCTCTCTCTCTCTCTCTCTCTCTCTCTCTCTTTTTTTTCCCTAATACCTTCCTGCTACTAAAATCTAATTTTTGGTTCAAAGGCTGTCAAAATGCTTCAACAATTCCGAAGATAGTACGGTATCGAAATTAATTATAGTCAATTTATGTTTTGTTACTTATTTGTGATAAAAAAAGTCCCTGGTAAGGGGAGGTTAGTATGCATGTCATCTGGTAAATTGGCCTCCGTTTTATGGCAACTCTAGCAATTATGGTGATGCATCTTGCCGGAAGCTCTATTTGAAAGGTGAGCACGGCTAATTAGGCATAGAGCCAGTTTGCCGTGCCCTTACACTTTTATTACTAAGTATAGTATGAAGTCAGTCCGTGATTGAAAAACTGTTTTATAGTTGTACATATTATTCTAATTTTTTAACTGTAGCTAATAAGCATATCCTGCGAGTTTCAGGTTCGTTTGGTCACCAATAAAGAGTCAAATAAGCCAAGAGGCTATGCTTTTATCGAATACGTTCATACAAGGGATATGAAAGGTTGTTTTTTGTTTCCATGCCCTTTTCCTCCTTTTTTTATTTTGTTTTTCCTAGACGAGATTCTCCCTATTATTCGATATTTGATATTTGACCGTGATAGTTGTATATATGTGTTGCAGCTGCTTATAAACAAGCAGATGGTAAGAAGATCGATAATAGGAGGGTGCTTGTGGATGTTGAACGTGGTAGAACTGTTCCAAATTGGCGACCCCGCAGGCTTGGTGGTGGTCTTGGAACATCTCGGGTTGGCAATGAAGAAGTTAACCAGAAGCAGTTAGGGAGGTAATATCGGTGATACTTTTTAATTTCTGCACATATCTTGCTCAAGGTAATCATTGGCATTCTATATAAATGGTTACCGATGGATAAAATTTTATGGTCGGAGGGGTGCCTGATGCCTGCTAAGTATGTTCCTCTCGATATGTTGACGATATGTCACAATAGCCTTACGAATTTCATATATGGAACCTTCCTAGTGGATCTTAAGGTGAAGTTTTGAGGTCACTGTCTGCATGATTATTTGGTGCAAGTAATGTGGTCTTGAGATATATAGGGTGTGAATGGATATTAAGGAAGGGCATTTTTCATCACCTGCTGAAAAATGCACTATTCACCCACTTACCTTTTTCTCTCCTCAAACAATTTTTAAAACAAAAACCTATCAATACTACACATTTTTTTAATGAAATTTACTATCATCTATTCACATATTTCTAAATGGCCATCATCATTTGATAGAGTGAAGGGTGGATTGCAAGAAGAAATCCAAACTGAAATTAATAATTAATTGAAAACGAAAGAAACGAGAACAACTCGAAACAATTACAGGCGAGCCTGCCCCAAGCGTGAACACCGATCAGGATTTCTCTTTCCTAAGACAAAGGCTCCTCCATTCTTTTCTCCCACCTCAGAGACCTAAACTACTACTTAACTAAATTCCTAAGGAAAGCACAGCCCATCACCTTATTCTAATCCTAATTAAATAACTTATCTAAAATATGGAAACTTAAATATAGATACTTATCATTATTTAATTATTTCCCCGTCACATTTGTTTTGATTATTATTTTTTCATCTTACACATTTCTCATTGTAGTCAAAATAATTAGTCCCCACCCCCGAATCTTTTTTCCCCATGGAGGAAAAAGTTATAAATGAAAGAATATCCAAGCACACCCATAAATCATTAGCAACTTTTGGAAAAGAAATCTTGGATTTATGTGCCAATTATTTTCCTACTCCATTCTAAATGTTTTTTTTTTTTTAACTCTTCATGTTCATCTCTCCTCTATCTCTTTCCTTTTTTATTGATTGAATTAATATGTGGTCAGGACCTTGATACATCATATGTGAAAGCTGATATGTTTTGTACGATAACCCACACAATGCTTCATACAAATTAAATACATATTCTGATGTTTGATTTATATTTTTATGTGCACTAAGGTAATCCATAGTTCTACCATCCTGCTTATTTCTTAACAAATTGAAGATGAAAATATGAGGACCTTTGTTACAGCTAACAAGCTGTCCTCATGCCTTCAATGTGATCTGTTGTTGGCGCCTTTGTACCGTGATTTGGATAATGTTGCTGATGTATTCATGTAATAGTTAACGGCATTACACTATCAGAAAAAAAAAAGTTTAGGCTCTAATGTGATGGTATTGCATTTGTTATTTTTTTCACATTAATGGAAGTCAGTGGTTGGATTGCCAAATTATTCATATTTGGTTGGGGTAAAGAAACAAAGTATCTGATCTAATGGACTGCATAAATTGACTCTTAGTCTTACCTTTGGATTGAAATGGAAGATTATTCAAATTTTTTACTTATGCTGCTGTGTGATGTATTATAACCATGTAAATTTCTTATCCAAGACTCCTGGTTTGATAGGTTCCTTGGGGTTCCTACAATTTTTCTACATTCAGAATCTTGTTCAGCTTCTGCTGCACTGAGAAATCATACTCCCTCATAAACAATTTGTTTCCATCTCAACTTTCATTTTTCTAAAATACATGTTAACAGGTCATACCTTTTTTATTTTTATTTTTTAACAGAGAGCAAGTTCAGTCTGGTGGAATATCTAGGTCAGAGGAACCAAGGGTTGAACGAGAGAGGTAACCATTTTAACTTCGCTGTATACAAATTCCCTACTCCACACTACTCCATTTTTCTAATCTGTCATCGTAGATTTTTCACTCATTAATAGAGCAGGCCTTTGTGTTTCTTAATTTAATCAAACGTGTTGAATTTAAGTTACTGATTGGAATTCCAATAAGAAATCATTTCTCTCCTAGCTAATACTAATGAGAAAAGAAAACATTCAAATCAATCAACATCAATTCTCTCGTCACTCAAAGAACATAATGCAAATTATCAAGTCATCTTGGTTTTCCCAAAAGTAACATATAGAAACTTAGGGGGTGATTGGATATGAATTCAACTAGTAAAAAATGTTTTTTTTTTCTTAACTGTAGTTAAGTTTGAAAAAAGGTGGTATGGTTAGTTGTTAGTGGATATATTAAAAAAATATTAAAATAAAATAATTAAAGTTGATTTGATGTAAAAGTAGGAGAAAATGATTGGAAGTGATGGTTAGTTAAAATTAGTGATGATTTTTTTTACTATACAATCTAAATACAATCGCCCCTTTAGCAAAAATCTTCTGAAATGTGACGAAACAAAACGGTGGAACTAATTTATTAGCACAATATCTNNNATGATTCAATTCAGGGACAGGGAAAAATCCCGCGAACGGGGAAAAGAAAGAGAGAGAGAACGTGAAAGGTCTCACGACAGGCCTCGTGACCGTGACCACCGAGACGACAGGCACCACAGAGACCGCGATCGGACCCGAGACCGAGACCGCGGCCGTGACCGTGACCGTGACCGTGATCGAGACCACGAGAGGGACCGCGGCCGTGACCGTGATCGTGGCCGAGATCGAGATCGAGGCCACCATCGGGAGAGAGAAAGAGAGAGAGATGGGAGAGATTATGAAACCGAAGCCCACGACAATAATTACGATCGTGGCCGCTCTCGAGACCGTTCTCGTGATAGGGACTATGAATATGATGAAGATCGTGGTGACTCGAAGCGTGCAAGGATTGAGAGGGAAGGAGGGGAGTATGGTGAAAAGGCGGAGCATGGGCAGTATGAGTCGTATTATGGAAGAGGGCAGTATGATGATGATTATGAGCGTTATGATGAGGATGGTGGGTATGGTTTTGAGCGGGCTGATGGGTCTGGTTTGCAGGAGAGGGAGCGTGGGCAGAGGTCGGTTTCTCGTGAGTATTGATTGGGTGATGTCTGTTGGTGTTTTCGCTGTTTTGGGACAGTGAATGGATTGGATTGGATTGTTTGGTTTTTATGTTTGGTTTTGTTATGTTGGTTGAATTTGGGTTAAGGAATTTGGATGTTTGTATGTGGATTATGTGATTTGGTAGTTGTTTTTAGTTCTGCTTCTGGTTTTAGCTGGGATCTTGTGTACCAGCTCTTTACTTTAAAAATGAGATGTTGGATATTGTTTTTTTTGGATCTTCTGGTCGGATTAAGTGGGTCTTTATTTGGATTTCGGATGGACTTGCTTAAACCCTGATATTGTATGTGGATTATGTGCTTGTTAATTGTTTTTAGTTCTGCTTCTGGTTTTAGCTGGGATCTTGTGNATTCTTGAACGTTTTAGTTGCCTTAAAAGCTGATATTCTTGAACGTTTTAGTTGCGATACGTTATGTTAGTGGTCATTTTATTTCATCAAAAGCCGTTAAAAAAAAAAGGAAAAAAAAAATAATGTTTTAATTGCATATTTTTGAAATTATCAATTTTAAAAAATAATCATTATTAAACTTTTGTATAATTGTAACTAGTGTACTCCCCGTGCGTTGCACGGTGGAGTTTATTCCTCAAACTCTTTTTTCTAAGCTTTATTTTAAATATTTTTCCTTAAAAATTAGTCATTTGATTATAATAGTAAAAAAAAGAGAAATACAAAGTATAAATAAAGTAATATGTTATTAAACAGTTCTTTATACACAACATTCTTGGTTTGGTAATAGTTTAAGTATTTGATATTTTTTATTAAATTTTAGTCACCTTTAACGCAGAAAATTCACGTTTTAGAAGCTCACAATACTTGTCAATCATCCGTTCACACTCTTTATCCCAACATATGAAAGTGCCATTTGAAATGATTTTAATCACAATAATAATAATAATAATAATAATAATAATAATAATAATAATAATAATAATAATAATAATAATAATAAAATATGTATAACATATATATGGAATGATTTTATAAACTAAAATTGGAATATATTTTTTGTATTATGGAATCATATTTTAGCATTTATATTGAAAAAAAATTGAAATCTAACATTTTATATGGAAATGAAATTTACTTTTCTAACTGTATTGTACTTAAATTGTGCTACCTTATGGAATTAGATTTTAGCATTTATATTGAAAAAAATAAGAATCGTAATATAATATTTTTTTTTTTCGCAAATGAATTTTACTTTCCTAACTGTAGTGTACTTCTTTTTAGAATTTGAGTTTTTTCAAATCAGTATCAATATGAGAAGAATCGTAACCTTTTTTTTTTGCAAACGAAATTTACTTGCCTAACTGTAGTGGACTTATTTTTTTTAGAATTTTATTTTGTCAAATTATTATTAATATGATTTTCAATATATTCAAATTATACTTATTTTAGGATTATTACATATCCGATTTTTAATTGGTGAGATTATAAAAAAATCTCAATTGTCCAATTGCTAATTATGTATGAAAATCGTACAAATGAGTTATACTGCACCTAGGGTACTGTTTTAGAATTATAATAATGTTAAATTGCTATCGATTAGAGCTTTAAAAACACATATATTGTGCTACCTTATGGAATCAAATTTTAGCATTTGTATTGAAAAAAAATAAAATCAAAATCTAATATTTTATATGGGAATAAAATTTACTTCCTAAATGTAGTGTACTTAATTGTGCTACTTTATGGACTTGAATGATAAATAGGTTTAAAATTAGTTTTTATTGTGATTATGAACCAAAAATGAATAAAAAAAAAAAAAATCATATGTGTAATTGTATTTTATTATTGAAAAAATCGTATGTTTTATAATTGGTAATCTTTTATTGAAATGAACTAAATTCGTATTTTTTTATTGGCAAGAAAAAAAAAAGATTTGAAATAAATTGATAGTTTAAATTAACAATAAATTCAGATTTTTTGATCGGCAAGACAATCGACTTTTAAAAAATAAATAGCATAAATATATCCGATAGACACAAAATTAGGCACGATTTTGTTTCCAAACTGACCCAATGTTTACATTTTAAATTTTTGAAAAAAATAAAGATATCACATAGGCGTGATTATTCAAATTTTGGCAAAAAAGATTACTCAATTGAGTAAATATTTTAGACGGAAAACCACATGTTTTTTTTATTTTTTATTTTTAGTTAATATTTTAAGTAAATATCATTGTCTCTTTATATACTAATACATAGATTTATTATCTCATTGATTATATTCAAGTATTCAATTTGAAAATGTATGTAATCTTACTCAATGGATTTTTTGTTCAATCTCTGTCTGTAAGTTCAACTAATATGAGTCTCGTGCAGTGTACATGTAAGAGATATTCATTAATATATATAAATAAAATTTTTTATTAAATAATATTTATAAATTAAAAATATGGAATCAATATGTAATACAATTTACCTATATTAATTTATTGAAAATGTTATATAAAGTTTAAATTGTGTAAAATTACATAAAAATGTCTTTTTAGAATTAGTACACAGCCCATGCGGTGCACATAACTGATAATAAATTCCATTATATTTGTTTCAAAATAAGTGTCATTTCAAAAATTTTATTCCGAAATTCGATTTGACTATAATGCGATTCCATAAAATAGTTATTTTGCTAAACTTTTATCATATATTTAACAACCTATGTAAATAATAAGTATAAATATAAAATTTATATTGTTTCATTACTTAAAATAAATTTATTTTTGTATAAACTATTCAAAAAAATAAATAAATAAAGTAGTTGAGTAATTTATTAAAATATAAATAATTGATATTTCGTTTATGTCCAAGTTAATATTGACGCGTAAGTTATTGAGTATTTTATCAAACTATAAATAATTGACTATTTCATTTACGTCCAAGTTAAATCTGACATGGAAATTATGAATATTTAATTTTGATTTTTAATTTTAAATAAAAATCTTATTTTCAATATGTTATATACCAAGTTTAAATAATGCAACTAATAAAGGTAATATCCGCAAGTTTTTTCAATATATTATCAAGTTCTAATAATGCAACTAATAAAGGTAATAATCGTAAGTTTTGTCAATAAATTATATTCTAAGTTTAAATCATGCAACTAATAAAAGTAATAGCCGCAATATTTGACCAAAATGATTCTGTAAATTAATTACATTGATTTAGGTGGAATTTTTTAAATTTTGGCTAAAACAATTACCTAATTTAGTAAATCTGAATTTTTAGGTGGGAAACCAAATGTTTTTTTTTTATTGATCCTTAGTTGCCATTTCAAGTAAATATCATTCTTTATTTTATAATAGATTTGTTAAACTATAAATAATTAACTATTTTGCTTACGTCCAAGTTAATATTGACACGTAAGTTATGAATAATTATATTTTTGATTTTTAATTTTAAATAAAAATATTTTTATTGTTTTAATATTTATATACCAAATTTAAATCATGCAATTAATAAAGGTAATAGCCACAAGTTTTGTCAATATATTATATTTAAAATTTAAATAATGCCACTAATAAAGGTAATAGCCGCAATATTTGACAAATGATTCTCTACGTTAATTAAATTAATTTATGCGGGATTTTTCATATTTTGGCTAAAAATAATTACCCAAATTAAATAAATATGAATTTTTAGGCTGGAAACCAAACGTTTTTTTTACTATTTTTTAATTACCATTTCAGATAAGTATTATTGCATATTAATTTATATATTAATATATATATTAGATTCCATTTACGATGTTATGATATGTTATTCAAGACTTAAGGATACTTAGCCAAATTATTTGAAGAAATTTACACCCCGATACACATAATTTATATAATTTTTTTTGTACAACACATAAATTATCTAATATATCAAATGCCATTTTCCTCTTTTATTTATACGATGAATGCTTAAATTTACAATTCATGTTTTGTTTATTGTTAATCAGATGCATATTGCATAATTAAAATTTAGAAAGGTACGGAGGCGTTTTTCACGGGATACAGGCCAAATTTTGCGCTGACTTGTTTGCCTTTGAGTAAAAGTTTTAAGCGGGATGTTCTGAAAATTTTCAAAAAAATACTATATTTAGTAATCTTAAAATTTTTGGAGGGAATCTAAATGATTTTTTAGTTACTGTTTTGGAATTATTTAGGTTGCCTTTTTATATATTATAAGATTTATAGAGTTTCATTTTCTTATTAATATAATTTTACTAAAGATAATTATTATTTATTTATTATAAGTATGTAAAATATAAATTACAAGAAAAATATTAATAATAGTTTTGTTCATATAATAGTTGGTTCATATATTTATGTCAAAAGTAAAGTTAGTTGGACCTTATAATAAACAGTTAACAAAAAAAGTAGACCTTAAATTGAGAATAATCTAAAATGTAAGTCTTGTATTAAGAAAGAAATAAAATTAGACCTTAAATTGATACAAATACAAAAAGTTGAGCCTTATAATGAAATTTCTCCTATAAATTATATATTAAACTATTATATGTCATAAAAATAAAAATTAGAATTAATCTATAAAAATATTTTTATACTACTCAATATTATTTTATTTCTTTAATATATAATTGAGATTTGTTATCGAAGGGTAGTATTCTGTAATCTGTACTTTACAATAAGATCATATCGAAAACATTTCATCGTCTTAACATTAACAGCGAGAGATAAAATGAATTAAGATGCATAAGTTTGGGTAAGACCTGCAGGTTATTAAAAACTATAGATATAGTATTTGAATACATCTTGAAATCAAAATCCGTTGTCGTCCAGTGGTTAGGATATCTGGCTTTCACCCAGGAGACCCGGGTTCAATTCCCGGCAACGGAACTAAAATTTTTTTGTTTTCAATTTTATGCCCTTTTTTTTCCTTTATTTTCAATATATAATATAACAGTGTTGTTTTAAATTGTACACAGAAAGCCCTGAAACTTCTGATACTCAATTTCAAGAATACAAATTGAAAACACAAGGTCTTAAACTACCAACACCGGAGGGCAGACTAAACGAAGACATTGGTCTCATGGACATAGTATTCGTCGAAAAAAAAAATAGAGACTGCATAAATAAAACACAAGGAATTTCCATCTCCAGTATCAATATCCTGAGGTAGACCTTTTCTTTGCACCAAATCTTTCTGGTCCATCTAAGTATAAACTTGGACTTGCAGCNAAAAGTAGCCCTCAATTTAAACTTGTGGTATTGTTAACTTCCCGACTCTTGGTGACAGTATGAATTGCGTGTCCACGATATTTAGAACCTTTGGTATAGACATACCTCCCGAGATGACAATCTCTGCAATCCCAAATAAACATGTAAATGAAAGAAAAAAAACGAGCAACAGCAAAAGTCGAGATTATTGGTTTTACCTATCCCCTCTCTAACAGAAAGATTAGGCCTCATTATATCTTTGGAATTAATAAGGAATATGTCCCCGAGATAAAGGTGATTAGTCGGGAGATAAACACAGCAAAGCTCCTCTGCACCTGAGCTTTTACGGAGGATAACAGTCGACGTAATAAAACCAAATGCATACTCTCCTATTCGAGGATGCCTCACGATAGCCACTTCCTTGAAGGCATGAGAAGATTGATCTTAAAAGAAAACCANTGATCAAGTACATAGATGAATATTTTCCCGTTTGCGATAAATATACAGGATGAACTATGATTTACCTGGAGAAATTGCAGCACTAATTTGCTTAGAGGCGGCATATATGTAACTCATTAGGGGCATTTTCTTAATGAACCATTCTCCTAAGGCAAGAAGTGAGGCACCGACCCACGATGACATAAAAACTCCGACCATAAATATGAAAGTTATTGAGGTCACAAATCCAAGACCTGTTGATTATTACTTATTAGTTAAAAGTATAAATGCAATCGAAAAGTGATACAAATGTCGACATCTTAGTGTCTCGTATTGTATGCAAAACACTATAGGCTTGGTAAAAATACATCATGTAAAATAGTGTCATGATAAATTTGTTAAAAAGCTTGGTGTATGATATATTTCAAATGTTAGCATTAGAACACACATTTTATATGGATATGCTTTTTTGCTTTTGTTTTTTTGAAGAGAAGGAAAGAAAATTAGGCCTACCGAATATGTTGATCCCCAAATGACTATAGATTGGCGAGAAAAATCCATCCACGAAATGAACGAACCACCATGTTAAGTAGAATGTGATGGCAATTGGAAGTAAGATCACACTACAATATAACGTTAAACCGAGAGTCAAATGAAAGCAATAACATAAACCATTCCAAAATACTGAGGAAACTCAATAATTCAATAAACTACAAATA